AGAAATATGACATATAATTTTCAAATTATTAGAAGGAAATAAAGAAATTATAAATGTAATTAATCCAAAGAAATAAAAAGAAATACAAAAGTAGAAAGACAAATGACACATAATAAGATGGTAGACTTATGGTGAAATATACTAGAAATTACATTATGTATAAATAGACTAAATATTCCAATTAAAAGGCCAAGGTTGCCAAAGAAGATAAAAAGCTAAATGTGACCATATGATGTTTACAAGACACATATCTAAATAAGAATTGAAAAACTTCCAAGGAAAAATGTATAAAAAGATACACTATGCAAACAGTAACCAAAATTAAACTAGTGTAGCTTTATTAGCTTCACACAGACTTTAAGACAAAACATTAATAAGTTATTTCATGATAAAATATTTGATTCAACATGAACATATAATTCTAAATTTAATGTACTAACATAGCTTTTCTGTTTATAAACATTAAATGAACTACAATGAAAAACAGACAAATCAATTAACTCAGAGGAAGAGTTTAACATATTTCTTCTCAGTACCAGCTGGAAAAAGCTACAAAAAGTCAGTAATAATTTAGAAAAATTAGAAGATTTAAATAAAATAATTAAATAAACTTGACTTAATGGAATACTTTTCAAGCACACAAGGAATTTTTTTTTCAATGACTTACACTCTGAACCAAAAAAGAAATTATCAAAAAATTTGAAAGGGGGGTGGCACCTGGGTGGCTCAGTCAGTTAAACATCTGTCTTCAGCTCAGGTCATGATCCCAGGGTCCTGGGATTAAGCCCCACATCAGGAGGGAAGCCTGTTTCTCCCTCTCCCTCTGTCTACTGCTATCCCTGCTTGTGCACATCCTCACTCTCTCTCTCTCTGTCAAATAAATAAATAAAATCTTTAAAAAATTTTTCAAAAGTAATAAAATGTTACATAGTATATATTCAGATTACAAGAAAATTGTGGCAAAAGTAAAAAACCAGGGGAGGGAAATCTAGAAAGTTTCAGAAATTAAGGAAATAGTCAGAAATTAAGGAAAATGAGAAAATATTTTAAACTCCTGATGAAAATTTCTGAGATACATACCAAGCTGCTCATAGCAAGAAAGATAGCCTTAAATGTATATATGAGGCAGGGGAAAGGCTCGAAGTTAAAATAAGCATCTATATCAACATGTCAGGAAGAACTGCAAAATAAACCCACCCAAACTAAGTAGAAGGAATGAAATACCAGAGACAAAAAATGAAATAGACGTAGAGGTGCATTTGGCTGACTCTGTCAGTAGAGCATGCAACTCTTGATCTTAGGGTTGTGGGTTCAAGTCCCACATTGGGGGTAGAGTTTACTGAAAGAAAGAAAGATAGAAAGACAGGAAGGAAGGGAAGGAGGAAAGGAGAGGGGAGGGGAGAGGAAGGGAGGGGAGGGGAGGGGAGGGGAGGGGAGGGGAGGGGAAGGGAAAGGAAGGGAAGGGAAGGGAAGGGAAGGGAAGGGAAGGGAAGGGAAGGGAAGGGAAGGGAAGGGAAGAAAGAAAAAAGACCTTGAGAACTTGTTTGGAAGTTCTAGGAGAAGAGCACAACTACTCATACACCTTTGACCAAAGAATGGTCCTCCTCTATCAGGGAAGGTCATCCTCGGTAGACTGAATGTGCAGCTTTGGGAGAGACACACATGGAGCAGTGAGGTGATGAAGGGGACACCACTGCAGCCAGCCAAATCAGCCAAATCAACCCTCATGATCAATGGGGTGACGGATGTCACAGCCAGATCACTCTCAAATCCAATCCCTATCAAAATACCATCAACAATTTTCAGAGAGCTGGAACAAATAATCCTAAAATGTGTATGGAATCAGAAAAGATCTCAAATAGCCAAAGCAATCTTGAAAAAGAAAACCAAAGCTGGAGGCATCACAATCCCGGACTTCAAGATATATTACAAAGCTGTAATCATCAAGACAGTATGATACCAGCAGAAAAACAGACACATAGATCAATGGAACAGAATAGGGAACCCAGAAATGGACCCTCAACTCTATGGTCAACTAATCTTTGACAAAGTGAGAAAGAATGTCCAATGGAAATAAGACAGCCTCTTCAACACATGGTGTTAGGAAAATCTGACAGCCACATGCAGAAGAATGAAACTGGGCCACTTTCTTAGACCCTATACTAAAATGAACTCATAATGGATAAAAGACCTAAATGTGAGACAGGAATCCATCAAAATTCTAGGGGAGGGGAGGGGCACTTCAGTGGCTCAGTCAACTAAGCACCTGCCTTTGGCTCAGGTCATGATCCCAGGGTTGTGGAATCGAGTCCCATGTTGGGCTCCCTGCTCAGCGGGAAGCCTGCTTCTCCCTCTCCCACTCCTCCTGCTTGTGTTCCCTCTCTTGCTGTCTCTCTCTTTCAAATAAATAAAATCTTTTAAAAAAAAATTCTAGAGTGGAACATAGGCAGAAACCTCTTTGACCTCAGCCACAGCAACTTCTTGATAGACATGTCTTCAAAGGCAAGGGAAAGAAAGGCAAAAATGAACTATTGGGACTTAATCAAGATAAAAAGCTTTTGCACAGCAACGGAAACAGTCAACAAAACTAAAAGGCAACCTACGGAATGGGAAAAGATATTTGTAAATGTCTTATCAGATAAAGGGCTATATCCAAAATCTATAAAGAACTTATCAAACTTAACACCCAAAGAATGAATAATCCAGTCAAGAAATGGGCAGAGGACATGAACAGACATTTCTCCAAAGAAGACATACAAAAGGCCAACAGACACATGAAAAGATGTTCAACACCACTCAGCATCAGGGAAATACAAATTAAAACCACAATGAGATACCACCTCATACCAGTTAGAAAGACTAAAATTGACTCAGGAAACAACAGATGTTGGCAAGGATGCAGAGAAAGGGAAACACTCTTACAAGGCTGATGGGAATGCACACTGGTGCAGCCACTCTGGAAGACATTATGGAGGTTCCTCAAAAAGTTAAAAATATCTGCCTTCAGGATCGAGCCCCGCATCAGGCTCCCAGCTCAGCAGGAAGCCTGCTTCTCTCTTTCCCACTCACCTGCTTGTGTTCCCTCTCTTACTGTCTCTCTCTGTGTGTCAAATAAATAAATAAAAATCTTTAAAAAAAAAAAAAAAAAAGAGCTACCCTACAGCCCAACAATTGCACTATTTGGTGTTTATCCAAATGATACAAGCATAATGATTCAAAGGACACCCCAATGTTTATAGCAGCAATGTCCACAATAGCCAAACTATGGAAAGAACCCAGATGTCCATCGACAGATGAACTGACAAAGAAGATGTGGTATCTATCTTTAATGGAATATTAGTCAACCATCAAAAAGAATGAAATCTTGCCATTTGCAATGACATGGATGGAACTAGAGGGTATTATGTGAACTAAAATAAGTCAGTCAGAAAAAGATAAATATCATATGATTTCACTCGTATGTGGAGTTTAAGAAACAAAACAGATGAACATAAGGGAAGGGAAGGAAAAATAAGACAAAACCAGAGAGGGAAAGAAAGCATAAAAGTTTAGGAAAAACTGAGGGTTGCTGGAGAGGAGGTGGTGCATGGCGGGGGAGCGGGGAGGGATGGAGTAACTGTATGATGGGCATTCAGGAGGGCACATGATGTAATGAGCACTGGATGTTATATGCAACTGATCAATCACTAAATTCTACTTCTGAAACGAATAATACACTATAGGTTAATTGAATTTAAGTTAAAAAAGAAATACAAAATAGAGAAGATCAAACATTGGTTCTTCCTAAAGATAAATAAAATTGGTAAACTTTTGGTGAGACTGATTAGAGAAAGAAAAAGATCCCATAGTAGGCCTGAGACCTGAGACTTAGAAAGGTCTGCTTGTGGGGCGCCTGGGTGGCTCAGTCATTAAGCGTCTGCCTTCAGCTTGGTTCATGATCCCAGAGTCCTGGGATCGAGCCCCACATCGGGCTCTCTGCTCAGCGGGAAGCCTGCTTCTCCCTCTCCTACTCCCTAGCTTGTGTTCCCTCTCTCGCTGCTTCTCTCTCTGTCAAAAAAATAAATAAAAATCTTTAAAAAAAGAAAGGTCTGGGGCGCCTGGGTGGCTCAGTGGGTTAGGCCTCTGCCTTCGGCTCAGGTCCTGGTCTTAGGGTCCTGGGATCGAGCCCCGTGCCTGCTTCCCCTTCTCTCTCTGCCTGCCTGTCTGCCTACTTTTGATCTCTCTGTCAAAAAAATAAATAAAAATCTTTAAAAAAAAGAAAGGTCTGCTTGCGAAGTGAGCCCTTGGTTGGCACTTGGGAACTTGGATGTCGTGAGGGGTCTCGTCATTTCCAGAACTGATAAAGTGGCTCAATGTGTGAAAAAAATGTTTACGCTGAATCTCTGTGTTCCTTTTGGGACTCTGAAATTTTGGTATGAGTCAGGCAGAGGGTGTCTTACATGAACATCCTCCAGTAAAAACCCTGGACACCGAATGTACGGAATCTCCTTAGTAGACAGTATTTCACACGAGCCGTCACAGATCATTTTTGGAAAATGTAAGTGCATCCTATGTGACTCCACTGGAAGAGGATTCTTGGAAACCTGTGACAGGTTTCCTCTGGAATTCACCGCATGTGCCTTTTCCTTTGCTGGTTTTGCTTTATATCCTGTCACTATAATAAATCACAGCCATGAGTACAACTGCACGCTGAGTGCTCTGAGCCCTCCTATTGAATCATAGCATGGGGAGTGGTCTTTAGGACCCCCACAGAGTTGACTGATAGATAGATAGATAGATAGGCAGATGGATATAGAAAGAAGCAACTAATATTTCAAAATCATGTTTATATTCATAGGACAAATGAATATGCATATATAATCATTTTATTTATTTAATGTGAAAAAAGAAATTTATGTCTTAAATTTTGGCATGGAAATTAATATAAAAACAGTAATTTTTTTCTAAAAATGTAATCTTGATCAAGAAACAACTTTTTTTTTAACTCAGTATTTACTCACCTTTAGTAATTTGATTTCTCGCATAGCAATTTTTTTAACCATTTTGTCATCATCACTTTCTAAGAACTTCTTGATGGCCACAATTCTTCCACTATCTTTATTCCTACACTTCATCACCATTCCATAGCTTCCTTCTCCAACCAATCCTAGGTTCTCATATTTTTCCATTTTAATTCAAAACCGGTAGGAATTCTTCTTGCTGTGGAAACCAAAACATAGAGTTCATAATGCTGAGCATATTCATTTCCTCCACCTTTCCAGTAAATTAATTCTTCCCCACTTGTTTTCCATATTAGAGCAGTCGCTGTGTTAATGGGTCTTCTGTTCTGACTCACAATTTCTTACTGCTTCTACATCTAAGCTATGTTTCTCAAATTATTGCATTTAGACAAGACATTTCATAATAGACAAGAATTAAAGTTTAAGTTAAAGTTTAATTTATTAGATGCCATGTTAATGAAATTCAATATATTTTTAATTCAGATAAAGCAATATTTGAACTATCATGGAAAACAAGTATAGCTTACTTTAGAAAAACACAACTCCTTTTCACTCAGAGGTGAAAAAGCGCAAGTGAGTTTTGTTTTGTGTTTTAAGATTTTACTGTTAAGTAATCTCCACACCCAAGTGGGACTCGGACTTATAGACCTGAGATCAAGAGTCATTCACCCTACCGACTAAGCCAGCCAGGCGTCCCAATGAGTTTGGTTCTAGTGAAGATCATATTTATTTTTTTTTACATCAGGTTTAAAAAAGCAAAGGTGAGGGGCAAGTAGGTGGCTCAGTTAGTTAAGCAACCGACTCTTAGTTTCGGCTCAGGTCATGATCTTCTGGATGGCAGGATCGAGCCCCAAGTCAGGCTCCAGCCTCGGGTTGGGGATAGGGGAGGGAGGGTCTACTTAAGGATTCTCTCCCTCTGTCCTTCCCCCCAATCATGCTCTCTATCTCTCTCTCTTTCTCAAATAAAGAAATCTTTTAAAAAAGCAAAGTTGAAAATCTTTACGCACTTTCTACTCAGTTGGGAAAAATATTTGTTCACAAATGATCACGTACCAAGTTAACACTAAGAAACTTTCACAAAGCTGTTTTTCTTTACCTTTCTTAATGTCGTAATTAAATTCCCATATTGAACTTACAAAATAACAACAATGACATCACAGTATATAAGCAAATTGTTTAAAAATTAAATTTTAATAGGACCAAGTACAATATTTCAAAAATCCTTTTAATGATTACTCCCTTTGAGTATGATCATTTGAATTTTGTGTTTAGAATTCTTTTACATCTCATTATATGACATTTTTGGATAATGGCTATCCTAATAATGACTGATGAAGGATCAACGATCATTCTTCTACGTATTTTGGTATAGAAAAAAACCTTTCAGTTCAAATACAGATAGGTTTTAATTCACAAGACTTGACTGCCATGAAATATAAAAACTAAATTTATTTATTTATTTATTTATTTATAAAATATTTTATTTATTTATTTGACAAAAAGAAACACAACAATAGGGAACACAAGCAGGGGGAGTGGGAGAGGGAGAAGCAGGCTTCCTGCCAAACGGGGCGTCCAATGCAGAGCTGGATCCCAGGACCCCGGGATCATGACCTTACCAGAAGGCAGACACCTAACAACTGAGCCACCCAGGCGCCCCTAAGTTTATTTTTTAAATCTGATTTTGAAGTTAAACTCCAAAAGCAAAGAATAAAAAATATTTCTCCTAATCCCAATATGGTTCTAAGAGTTTTGTGAAGAATAATCTTTCAGTAACTATACATTCAAATGATGATTTATAACTGATTTTTTTAAAGATTTTATTTATTGATTGATAGAGACCCAGTGACAGAGGGGAATGGGAGAGGAAGAAGCAGGCTCAGGGAGCTCATTGAGGGGCTGGATCCCACCAGGACACTGGGATCATGACCTGAGCTGAAGGCAGACCCTTAACAACTGAGCCACCCAGGTACCTCTAATAGCTGGTTTTTTTAACTAACAATACAAGAATACTCATTCATAAAACGTTGAAAGAAAAAAAAAAAACCTGTCACCTATTTCATTAATTGTGTCCTATGGCAATCTAAAACTAATTTACCCAGATTGTGAATTGTGATGTTTCATTTGCTTCCATATTATCAGTTATCAGCACCCTGACAACAAAAACAAAATAAATACCCTATTTGTTCTAGCAAACTGTGATAATCCAGCGTGTATACATTTTCATCAGTTTACCTTAATAATCTAGGGATAGATAGATAGGCAGACAGACATGGAAAACCAGAAGACTGAGCCGAAGTGGGAAAAGATGAAAAAAAATTCCCGTCAACACCAACTCCAACTATTTCATATTTTACCACTAGCTTTGATAGTAGTTTCTATAAGCTGTTTACAGAGCAGTGTCCACAACACTAACTTTCCATATTTGACATATTAACTTCCATTTAATCTCTACTATTTTTTTAAAAAATGTCTGTCTGAAAAAAATTCTCAGTGTAATTCTCTCTCCTTTCCTGAATTTTTTTCCCCTTCCATTAAGACAGCATGCTTTCTTAAGGACTAGACCTTTAGGTTTCTCATGCCAAGAGCAAAAATAGGGGGACACTATAATCTGAATCATTTTTAAACACTTTGCAATTGGTGTCCTCAATGCCTGAAAATGCAAAGTGAACAAAATCAAGATTACCTTCAGCAGGTCTAAGATGTGATGAAGCGTATGGCGAGCGTATGGTAAGCAAGTCTTATTCTGGAAACCAACCAGGCATGTAGGCACAGCACGTTGAATACACCTGCTTTTTACTTTTTACTGCCCACAAATACCTTAGAAGTATCACAGCTTAAAAAGCCTCTGGTTTCCTGAAACAGTTACTCATAAACTACAGTTTTTCATGCCTTCTACTCCTGTGCGCAGACTGAAAGGATGCCTGGCCAAATTGGCAATGCAGTATTCCTGGACACGTGCCATGTAAGCATATGGTTCTAATGCCAACAGTCAGGTACTAAAAACAATGCTTTTTGTTGTTGTTGTTGCTGTTGTTGTTAAAGACAGACTGAAATCTATCATAGATCAATGAACGAGATAATAAGTTTTTTAAAGTATTGTACAAATAAAATAAAAATTTTAAAAAATAAATAAATAAAAAATAAAAGTACTGTACTTGGGGCGCCTGGGTGGCTCCGCTGGTTAACTGACTGCCTGTGGCTCCGGTGGTGATCTTGGAGCGATGGGATCAAAGCCCGCATCAGGCTCTCTGCTCAGCAGGGAGTCCGCTTCTCCCTCTGACCCTCCCCTTCTCATTCTCTCTCTCAAATAAATAAAATCTTTTTATAAAAAGATAATAAATGTAGGGGGCGCCAGGGTGGCTCAGTGGGTTAAAGCCTCTGACTTGGGCTCGGGTCATGATCCCAGCGTCCTGGGATCGAGCCCCGCATCGGGCTCTCTGCTCACCAGGGAGCCTGCTTCCTCCTCTCTCTCTGCCTACTTGTGATCTCTGTCTGTCAAATAAATAAATAAAATCTTTAAAAAAAAAATTATGTTTTGGGACGCCTGGGTGGCTCAGTGGGTTAAGCCTCTGCCTTCAGCTCAGGTCATGATCTCAGGGTCCTGGGATCGGGCCCTGCGTGGGGCTCTCTGCTCACCAGGGAGCCTGCTTCCTCCTCTCTCTCTCTCTCTGCCTGCGTCTCTGCCTACTTGTGATCTCTGTCAAATAAATAAATAAAAATCTTTTAAAAAAAGATAATAAATGTATTATGCTTACCGTTTCTTTAAAATCCTTTCACATGGAAAGACCCAAAGGTTTCCAACTTGGAAACAAATTTGGGGTGAAATGCATCTCGCTCGCAGGTCTACAAGATGCTGACTAGCAAACCGGCAGTTCCGGAGCTGGTTGGGTTCCTTCTGGGGACACAGCCGCGGGTCGGGGGCGAAGCGGGCGGGGAGGCAGAGCGGCCTCGGCCTGCCACAGGCGCGCACTCGGGCGGACCGCGGGCCGCATGCTGCCGTCGTCAAGGCAACGACCTCACTCTGCCCCAACCATTGGAACAGTCTCTCGAGAGAGATACAGCCCGGGTCAGAATGCGCCCACGGCAGGCGCCAACACGCCTGTCAAGGCCAAAGCCCGTAAAGAAATGAGCTGGACAGGAGGGCGCCGTCTCCACGCTCTCAAGGCGCCCAGTCCCCGGAGTCTGTGAACCTGCGCGGCTCCCGCAAGCCCCGGGCGAAGGCGTTGGCCGCCGAGCTGCAAGGGGGCGGGCTCTCACCCGCCCGGCCCCGCCCTGAGTGCGCCAAGCTTTCCGTGCTCTGATTGGCTGGGCCCTGTCGTCACGAGCTACGATTGGCTCAGCGCCAGCCACCCCGCCCCTGCACCTGGGGCTTGGCGGGGTTCTGCTCACCGAGGCACAAACGCCAGCGCCCACTGATACTTCAGTTCTGGAGAGGAGCGGCTCGGTCTGCGTTCGCCGCGAGGCCTCTCCTCGCCTCTGAGGGCTAGAGGCGACTCCGGTGCTCACGGAGAGAATAAAGGGGTGGTGGCGCTGAGGGACTGGGAGAAAACAGAACAGGGACACAGGCAGAGGACGACGAAGCACTCCTCCCCGCGGCCCTGCAGGGGCGGGGATCCGGGCCTGCCCTGGGCGCCCCCACCCGGGAAGGTGCCGGCCTGACCGCGATTCGATGCCTCCCTTCTGGTCGGGGCAGTGGGGCCAGGCCGGGCCAGGTGGGTGACGAGGGTGACACCCTAGGAGGTGATGATTAGTAGGTGAGGCAAGGTGAAAGCAAGCAGGTGACAACGCAAGTGACGTGGGAGGGACCTCGAGGACAGCCTGGGCACTGAAAGCGAGGGACACACCTTGGCTGGAGATAATGGAAGAGGGAGAGAGGAGAAGGGCTAGGGCGTCCGCGAGGCTGGAAGAGAGGTGCAGGGCGGGCGTGTGGCCGCCGAAGAGGGTGCAGTTGCGGGTGACACGTTGAAGGCACAGACAATGCCTCAGGGCTAGATCCAGGGCCAGGCAAGACTGGTGGTTAAGAATGACGCACAGGCTTGGGTCACATTAACAAACGGGGTTTTCCTCATCTTCAAGTAGTTTGGGGTTTAGGCCATGCCCCTCCAGTGAGAGGCCTTAAGCACTCGGATATTTTCGCATTATGTCATGAAGACCGGGACCCTGGCGGACTCAGTCCGCGGAGCGTGCAACTCTTGATCTCAGGGATCCTGAGTTTGAGCCCCTCGTTGGGTGTAGAGATGATGTAAATTTTTATAAAAAGAAATCATGAAGACTAAATGTTTTATCATTGTATTTGGTCTCTAGAACACCTTGATCCAAGTAAGAGAATGTCCTGGAGCAGCAGATATCTACAATCGTAGTCAAAATTAGGTATTAATTCTTGTACACGGAGAGATAAATGTTGATTTATAAATTATCTTCTGTGAGCGTGGCTAGCATGAATTAATCTTCCAGTGCTTGGTCACCTTGGTCAAGCTGCTTAAAATCTAGTTCCTGAAGCTATAATTATGAGGAGCAGACCTAGGACCTGGGCATGGAAAGAATACAATTCTTTGGTCAATTTAAGATCTCATAACATAGAAGTTACCTCTATCCCTGGCTCTAACCAAGTTGGAGGGAGCCATGCCCCCTCTGTAGGCTATAACCTAATCTGATGAACTTTTTATATGAATTCAGGAGACCCCCTATTATAAAGTAGCAAATCCAGGTTTGTTAGGACTGAAGCTTGAAGAACAAGAATATAAAAGTATTTTACTTTTCCAACCTTATAAGTATATTCAATAATGTAAACATTTAAAGGCCCCTCCAGGCAAGAGGCCCTGAAACTCAAATAACCTGTTCATACCCCACAGGGGAACCAAAAGGATAAAAACTAAAAATACTAGATTTGGTGAATAGACAATGCTTGAAAAAACAGTTTCAAAAAAAAAAACTGAGTTTGAAAGCCAACTGTGAAGGAGACATAGGGTATTCAACAAATTGTACATCCTGGGTAAAGCTATCTACAGGTTTGCTAAGGAGGTAGTATTAGGTAGAAACAGGATTAGGTTATTGCTTATTTTTCTTTATCAACTGGGAAATCTTTGTAGGGAAAAAGAATGCAGGGGTGCCTGGGTGCCTCAGTGGGTTAAACCTCTGCCTTCGGCTCAGGTCATGGTCTCGGGGTCCTGGGATAGAGCCCCACGTCAGGCTCCCTGCTCAGCGGGGAGCCTGCTTCCCCCTCTCCCTCTGCCTGCCTTTCTGCCTACTTGTATTCTCTCTCTCTGTCAAATAAATAAAAAGATAAAATCTTTAAAAAAAAAAAAAAAAAGAATGGAGAGAAGCTTTAAAGAGGCATGAAAAGCCCAGGACAGGTAGTGAAGGTGGTAAAGTGTGAAATGGTCTTACCCTTGAAGAGGCTTAGAGGAAAAAGGGAAAACTGAGAAAAGTGTAGGACATACACATTAGCTTGCCTGGATCTTCTCAGTAAAAGAACTTCATCTTTGCTGAAAAAGATAATGGTGAGATTGAGGCTCAAGGATTTAAGAGCAAAAATACCTTGAAATAGGTAGTTATGAAGAAGTCATTGTTATATGAAAAGAATACAAAATAGTAAAACGTGCCCATTTGAGCCTGGACACCATGAATTTGCAGTGAAACCAATTGACTCTGTTTTATAGGACTTGGCATCCCCAGGGTCAAGAATGGAGAAAACAGATGACACACAAGCTAACTCTTAGATGATTGGTACCTCAAGGAGAATAAATAAAGGAGTTAAGAAATTAAGTATGATGGAGGAGTACCTAGCTGGCTCAGTCGGAAGAGCGTGTGACTCTTGAGCATGAGTTCAAGCCCCATGCTGGGTGTAGAGCTTAAAAGAAGAAGAAGAAGAAGAAGAAGAAGAAGAAGAAGAAGAAGAAGACGACGAAGAAGACGAAGAAGACGACGAAGACGAAGAAGAAGACAACGAAGAAGACGAAGAAGAAGAAGACGAAGAAGAAGAAGACGAAGACGACGAAGAAGACGACAAAGACCACGAAGACAACGAAGATGACAACGACGACGACGAAGAAGAAGAAGAAGAAGAAGAAGAAGAAGAAGAAGAGAAATCAAGTGTGATGGAGAAAGCACCATTGAAATGGCTTGCCATGGGTTCCATCTAGATAGGAAGTCAAATTGAGACAGAATTTAGCTAATAAACTGAAAATGCAGAGGCACCAAAGGAGTGGAGGTCATGAAGTTTAATGGAGTGAAATAGGGGAAAAGTGACTGTTAAAGCAATTTGTGAATTTAAGACTTTGGAATTGGCACAAGATGATGACAATGATGGGTTCCAAAAGGTGGAATGTTTGGCTCTTCCTTTGCCTAGCTGAAGATTAGTGAAGAATGTCATTGGAATTGAATTCAATTCCATGAGATCAGAATAGGCAAAGTGTTGAATTTTTTATGAAAAATCATAACATGAACTACTCAAGTGGGACAATACAGAGAGAAGGTGAGAGGGACATTTTAATCACTAAAAAAAGTTAAAATAATTCTAAAAATCTAAAGAAAACAGTGTGGGAGTGCATGAGATTTGCAACAAGTGAGCAGAACTGGCAATATAGTAAAGAACAAAGGTTAAAAGAGACAAAGGACCATTTGACCCAGCAATGTCATGCCTAGATATATACCCAAGAAAAATGAAAACGTATGTTCACACAGAAAACTTTAACCACAGTGAGATACCACCTCACACCACTCAGAATGGCTAAAATTTATAAGTCAGTAAACGACAGATGTTGGCGAGGATGCAGAGAAAGGGGAACCCTCCTACACCGTTGGTGGGAATGCAAACTGGTGCAGCCACTCTGGAAAACAGTACGGAGGCTCCTCTAAAAGTTGAAAATAGAGTTACCCTATGACCCAGCAATCACATTACTGGGTATTTACCCTAAAGATACAAAGGTAGTGATCTGAACGGGCATGTGCACCTGAATGTTTATAGCAGCAATGTCCACAATAGCCGAACTATAGAGAGAACCTAGATGTCCATCAACAGATGGATGATCAAAGATGTGGTATGTGTACGTATGTGTGTGTGTGTATATATATACATATATATATATGTATACATATATATACATATATATATATGATGGAATATTATGCAGCCATCAAAAAAGAAAAACAAAATCTTGCCATTTGCAATGACATGGATGGGACTAGAAGATATTATGCTAAGAGAAATAAGTCAGTCACAGAAAGACAATTATCATATGATCTCTCTGATATGAGGAATTTGAGAAGCAGAATGGGCGGTCATGGAGGGTAGGGAGGGGAAAAAATGAAACAAGATGGAACTGGGGAGGGAGACAAACCATAAGAGATGCTTAATCTCAGGAAACAAACAGGGTTGCTGGAGGGGTAAGGGGGAGGGATAGGGTGGCTGGGTTATGGACATTGGGGATGGTATGTGCTATGGTGAGTGCTGTGAAGTTTGTAAGACTGATGATTCAGAGACTTGTACCCCTGAAGCAAATAATACATTATATGTTAATAAAAAAATTATTTGGGGAAAAAAACTTTAAACAAATGTTTATAGTAGCAATGATAGAATATCCAAAAAGTGAAACTCAAATGTCCATCAACTAATGAATGGATAATCGATGGTATATCCACACAATGGAATATAAAAAGAATGAAGTATTGATACATGCTACAATATGGATGAATCTTGAAAACCTTATGCTAAGCAAAAGAAGCCTGACACAAAAAGCCATGTGTTCATTCCATTTCTGAAGTGTCCCTCATAGGCAAATCCACAGAAGCAGAAAGATTAGTGGTTACCGGAGACTGAGTGGGAGATGGGAATGGATTTGGATTAGGATGGGTATGCATTTCCTTTTAGGGTGATGAAAATGTTCTGGAATTAGATAGTGGTCATGGTTATACAACCTTGTGAATATACTAAAAACCACTGATCTGTATTAAAAGTGTGGATTTTATGTATGTAAATTATATCTCAATACAAAAATAGACCACAGGACAA